CACACACACACACACACACACACACACACACACACAAATAAATAAATTTTAAAAAAAGAACGTTAAAGGTAAATGGCAACAACAATTTGAGAGCAAGAAAGAAATCAAACTAAAGAAACTACTAACCAAAACTCCTCACAAGGAAATCCCAGTGATATCGGCAGCTTATTTTTCATCCAAAATTATAAAAGCTGAGCTAAGAAACCAGGCTATGAAACTGAAATAGGGAAGCAAAGTATATAAAGAAAAAGTAACTCTCAACAAAGAATCTTTATTTATCAAAACTACTTGTAAATACTGAAGTTGATATAAATTGAAATTCCCACATAAATAAAAATTTAGAAAATATATTACTAGGACTTTGCCCACAATCCCACAAGAAACAGTAAGGCATTTTCGTATTTATTCTTCTTTTAATAAATAGCATCTATATAATGACCAAAATCTACATAAAACAGAAATGTTAACTATGCAAGTTCAGAATATTTTATAAATGTGTATATATTTTCCTGTCTTAATTATTTTTAAAGTGATTGTGTAAAATATACACGTACAATAGTATTTATGCACACATACACACACCAATGGACTTCCACATTTGAGGGTCTGTATCTGCAGATCCACCTATATTAAATGGAATGTATTTGACAGAAATGAATTATGTATGTACCAAATATGAACAGAGTTCCTTTTGCTCATTATTATTCCATAACAATATGGAATGACAACTTTTTACATGATGTTTACATTGTATTTGGTATTAAACATCATCTATACATGATTTGAATTATACTAGAGGAAGCTTGCAGGTGAGGTGTGAACACTGCACCATTTTACACAGGACTTCCCCACGTCTGTGGATTGTGGAATCCGGTGGGTTTCCTGGGGCCAGTATCCCCAGATGCTGAGGTCCAACTGTGGACAGCATTTGGCTTTACACAGAAATGCATTTTCTACTAACAGCAAACACGCAATTGCCGCTTACAAATGTGCACAAAAGCGTAGTAGGATTAGGAAATGATAACAGATGATTATTCGCATCCACTAGACAAAGCCAAGAAACAAGAAATAAGTAGGAAAACAGCTGGCTTCTTCTCTCCTCATATTCTATAGAGGAGATAGTTCTGAAAAGAAATAATTATGACAATAAAATTGGAGTTTGTAGCATTTATGTGTTGGTCATTAGTAGCTTGAAAAAGGTGACAAAAGTAATAGAAGTCTATAGGGATAGCAAATTTTACATATATACTTGTGATATGGAAGTTATATAATTTATAAATTATATTATATATCATAATATATGTTATATAGTATGTTATATATTGTGGTATATATTATATATGTAATATATATTATATAACTACATATTATATTGTTAAATGTATGTGGTAAACTCTAGAACAATCATTAAAGTTATAACACAAAGCAGCAGTCACAGAGTTGAAGTAGGTAGGCTGAGAATCTTTCCTTTGAAAGAAAAAGTTGGAAACCCCTTGTGCAATTAGGAAATAGACCATATTTTGTGCTTAGCTGATTTCCAATTCCTGGAGACAGATTTTTGTCTTTTGTATTTCTAATATTCTTGTAGGAGCATTCTACGGAGCTTACAGAGCCTATCTACACTGGCTCATGCCTCTTTTGACTATTTAAGAAAGAGTTCTTTCTGGTTCTCTAACATGGCCCTTCTTTCAGTGCTTTTTTAAAAAAATCTCATGTTCTTCAGAAAAATCAAGTATTTCTCTATCTCTGTCTCTGTCTCTCTGTCTCTCTGTCTCTCTGTCTCTCTGTCTCTCTGTCTCTCTCTCTCTCTTTTGATCACTCTCTCTGTCATTTTAATTGTTCCCACCATTAAAAAAGAAACACTTATTATTGGATCTAGACTATACCCAAGACCCAAGTAATGTAACATCATCTCATTTCAAGATCTTGAAGTTAATGATATCTGGAAAGACATTTTTTTTCCCCAAATGTGGTAGTGACATGTTTCTATGGGTAGAACTTGCACATATCTTTGTAACAGTCACAATTTAATCAACTGAATTCTTTCTTCTGAAATTTAGGACATTCATGATGAACTAGAATGATAAAAACACAAATATGACCCTCTCCCAGAAAACATGTAAGTATGACATTATTTGTCGCACAGACTCTCAGATTCCAAACACCACATGATGTAAGCTCAAGGAGGTGAAATAATGTACTACTCTACCTTGAAAATTTTGAAAAAATCTTTGTTATTCATCCATTTATTAATTCGTTATTCTTATATTCCATCAAGTGAAAGTAATGACATATTTCCCAGTTACTGGGACAAATCTCCTATAAGGAAATCATGCACATTACTCAAACAGAAACTACTTTATAATATTTTGATTATGCTTGATTTTACTCTACAAATTATTCTCTAGAGAATGACCCCTTCATTTGCCTTAAATAACACATAAATGTAACCTGTGTAAAAAATAAATAAGGTAAATATGTCTTCAAGTTAGACTGAGAGAATATGACTAAATATAAAAGCCCAGAGACTTGCATTCAAAAATCAATTTTTTTTTCAATGGCAGCAATGTTCAGAGACTGTGCTGGTGGGGAAGTGAGAAGAGAATGAAATTCGAGCCTATCGAGAAGTCTCACTGCATACATTGACAAAGATGGGATATGGCACGGGATCAGCGAAAACTTCATTATTATTTAGAATCTGATTTCTGATTTTTAAAAATAGCATCAAGCACATTGGAAGTCTGCTCTTGTTTCCTTCCATTTCCTTAATCATATGCTGGTTCCACAAAAAAAAAAAAAAGATATTAAATGTATGAATATCCAAAAATATTCCTGCCAAAGCAGGGAGAAAATCCATAAAGCAAAATAAAGCACGCAAACATGAAACTGTTGTCCAATATCTCCCAAGCTTCCCAAAAATATGTTATCTTTACATCAGATGAATGCACATGATTGAAATTACAACTTATCTTTTCAGCAGAAGTGTCATATTTAAGGACTGAAGATTTACTTTTATCTAAATTAATGAAATGATAGCAGTCCAAATTTTAAAGATATTATAGAGTGATAGAATTAATTAGATAAGCTTCTGAGGAAATTATTCATGTCCTTTGTGACTGGCCCCAAAATGTTTGCTTTTCATCTGATACACAAACATTAAATATAAAGATATTATAATTAGAAACCTGATTAGCATTCATTAAAGATTAATTTTCTAAACACGAGAGATGGGACAAAGCGGTCTGGAAGGAAAAGCCCATTTCAGCTGCCACAGAAGCCGGGCTGTTTTCACATGTAATGGAAGAAAAGGCTGAAATGGCACCTTGTATAAACAACTTCTTGAGTTCTACCATTTGAGGTGTAGTGACTTCCTGTCACCCCTCTGTCACACAGCCTCATGAATTGCCCATTAATTTTGCCCTTTTGTAATCAAAGGTAATGGAATACTGCCAAGCGTGAGTTACTTGGGAATTTGCTTCTCACCGCTTTCCATGAGCTGCTGCTTTTGCAAGCATCAACCGAAGTAAACAGCCTCACCATCTCAGACGACAAGAGAGATGAAAACGCTTTGGCAAATTTAGATATACTGGTCGGGCTCAATAAATAATTCTTGCGTATTCTGCAAGTAGAAGGGAGGATGCCATGAGCAGTAAATTAGTCAATGGGGGAATGCAAAATACGAGAATTTATAATTGAAAAGAGGATGTGGGGAACAGTGGAAGTTTATAATATACGAGGATGTGAGTTGAATATATGCTGGAAGGATAGCAACTCAGGACGTTTAAAATAAAACTGCCTGGAATTTGAAAGAAGATCATGAAAAATCATTGCAGAAGTAGGTTTAATGGCTCCAAAGTAGAGAGACAAGAATATTGAGATATATCTTTCCCATGCATGGTAAGATAATTTCTAAATAACTAGGGGGTCTTCTGGGTTAGCTCAGTTGTTTAAGCGCCTGTTCATACTGATGCAGTCAGGCACAGGATACCATGGTTTGACTCCACCTGCCTTACTAGACCCACCCTTAAGGCAGCCCTAGCCAGAAAAAAAAAATCCTTTTAAATAACTAGACATAGTTCACCAACTCATAGACAATTAGTTCTGCAAACAACTTAGAATAAAGTTAACTACAGGGTGCTAGCAGGTTAAGAATACTACTTGGGATGTTTTTGATTGGTTTTTTTTCTGTCTAGTATTATAGTTTTAATTATAATTCTGATATTACCATGTTAACTATACCTATACTCTGGCTCAAGCGCAGCCTTTTGATGGTCTCAAATATGTATCAAGAAATGAAGATGCTATATAGAATATGAAGGGGAAGAATACTGCTCAAAATTTAGTAATTGTTATTACAGAGCTCTAAAGTTCCAGCGTGCCAGACAATAGGTAGAAGAACCACTCTGCTTTATGACATGAAATCTCAGACACATGAACAGAGTAGTTGCGTTTACTTTAGTGACATAATAACTTTAGGTTCTAATGAACAAAGTTTAGTGATTATAGTTTTTCCATGTATCAGGTCTCAGTCATCTTGAATGAGACCATACTTTCTCAGTGAGAGAGAGTACTTACAAACTTAAGGTAGACTTTAAAATTTGGGAGCCAAGGAGATGGCTCAGTGGAATAAGTGTTTCTCTGGCAAGCACA